ACACATTCGATTGACAACTAATTCTAAAGCATAGAAAAAAGATCATATTTTTCTGCAAAGTTTGCACAAATGGCGTCCAGTTGTTACAGTTCGAAAATTGGAAAATGGAGATGAAAATCCGAATTTTGACGAGGAATTTAGAATTCAAAATGTGTGGTTCATTGCTGTTACTACTTATCAGGTACGCTTAAAATTCAAATTTACGTATTTAATTTTCTATAATTTCAGAATCCAGCAATCAAGTGTCTGAAAGTGGAGAACAATAAGATGGCATCTGGTTTTCGTTCAACTGGAAATCATAAAAATAGTCTTCCGACACGTGGCACCAAACGGACTGCTTCTGAAACCTTTCCAACTCCTCCTTCAAGTACATCACCACCATCGAAAATGAATTCAAACGGACACTTTTCGAATGCTCACTATTCAAATCAAGAAAATTTTGATTTTTCAATGACGGGGAATTCCCATCAATATTGGATGAACCCAGATCAGAATACGTGGATTTACCGATACAATATGGAACAACAAATGGAACAACCAGTCATTAATCAATGGAATATGCAGAATTTCGGACATCCAACGAATTTGAATTATGAGCAATATGGAAATCCAAATAACACAATTGGTCCAGAATTTTACCACGGATTGAATAATTTTTAATTGCACATCTTTTCAATAAAATTGAATCAAATTCTAATAAGTTTTAATTCATCGGTATCAAAACATTTTTAGATTTTGGGATTGAAATTGAATAAAAACATTAAATACGTCTGAAATAATGAAATAGATTTTTTGAGAAGCTGAAGTGTTACTGACTGATCGAAATTGTTGATATTGTTGTTATTGGAGACAACATCACGGATGTCCTGAGTTGTTTCTGTAAATGATGGCTTCGCATTGTCTCATAGCGGTTTGGGCGTCATAAATATCCGCCAACAGAGCTACAATTTTTACAGTACTTTCTGAACTATAGATGAAACTAAAAATCACTAATTTATAACTTGATTTGTATCAGGCCGTCTTAAAAGTAATCCACAGCAAACTGAGGGTCAAAACACATCTTGATTTTTTCTGGGGATCGACCTCGTGGGGGACAAGTTGTCCGAACTTTGGAGCTCTACCGCTTTAATGTTCTATTTTCTGACACTCACTCAGCCATTTTCTGACACTTGATTAGGTGTTGTGATGAAATCATGATGATTGCCGTAGAAAATATTAGGTTGTTCGGAAAGTTCCTTCCATTTTTAACGGCAGATACATTCAATACAAAGAAGGCCAAAACGATGTCGGATAAATTGAAGGTGATAAGCATTGTAATCAATGACGACCTGTCACCAAATTGTGATTGCCCTCCTGTCAAAACTCCGGTGACAGCGAATTGAAAACCATTTCAGCCCATATTTGGTATCTTTTTTTGAGATGAATTTTTTTCATCAAGATGACCTTAGAAATGGCTGGATAGGGGGCAGTCGGAAAGTCCAAGGCTCGAGGTATACGGTGGATAAGACAGAATGGTTTAGCCATATCCAGTGAGATCGGTCTGGGTCTTCTTTCCGCCTGTCTCAGATTGTAGTTTTGAAAAGAGAAAGATTTACATATGCTACATTTTGAGTTACGAGTAAAGGAAGATTCATCACAAAAAGATTTACAAGTAATATTGTTTGCTTTGTAATTTGTTGGGTATTTGAAATTGGCAATTTTTGATGTTCTAGTCTTGACAGATGAAAGCATGTACTTGATGTATCGAGAAATGTTACTGGTAAGTGGATTTTTTTTGAATTAGAAACATTTATAAATTTCTACAGTATGAAAGCATCGTTATTCACGTATTGATGTTTTCATCCGCTATATTGCATATTTCAATTTCAATGAGCATTAGAAGAAAATCTCATTTAAAATCAATTATAAATAATAAGCCAGACAGATTCATTTTTTTTTATCAAACTATTGGTTTGGCTGCGTTTAAAGTGGGGAGTTCGATGGAACTCAGCAAAGAAAACAAATTTTTGGATAATATTTTTCAGACAAGCCTACGCATGCACATTCATTATCAATTTGAAAGGGACCAGACAAAATTCAAACCCTACCAGACACAATAATTCAATGCCAGATCAAATTAGGTCTCAGGAATTGTTTCCTCTGGGAGAACGGAATGATGTACAACGAAGAAATAAAGAAAAGAGAAACTATATAATTAGTTTATTATAGAAATTATCGTCGTAGTTTTTTGAAGAAAAAATAAGTTTACAAACAAAATAACATTTTAACAACATCTCGGGTAGTCCAGGGAGAAATTGAATGGGAGAGCCATAATGTTTAAGTTATTATCCATCTTTTCTTGTTCTTTGCCATCCTGTTTTCTTCTTCGCCATCTCGGTCTTCCTGGCAAATCCAATTTCCGGGAATCCAACGATATTTCCAAGATAAGATTTAAAGGAGTCTGCAAAAAAAAATGATTAAGAATACATATTCAGTTGTAGGCTATTACCTTGTTTCCCGTTTCTCTGATTGAAATGACCATCCGGGTGCTCTTGATTAATGATCTGGTCATTGTGAGCTCAATGGATAATCCCCAACTTCTTTGAGAAAATATAAAAGATAGTATCCTATTTGTGCCGGTGGCGGTGTCTTCCAATTTGTAGCGGTAGCGGGATTGACATAATTGGTCACAATAACAACGCCGATTTGGCGGTCTTGATCTGAGGATTTGTAATCTTTGTTGATGGCCTAAAAATATTTTTGGAGCATTTTTGAAAATAATTAGGAAAATTGACTTACCAAGCAGTTGTGCTGGTTTTGGCGTAGCTTTTTTGTCGAGATATCCCAAAACTTGGGTGAAACATTCAGGAAAATAAGGAGAATTATTTCTCAGACGTCCAAGCAGAAGGTCGTCAAGAAAGAATATAGGAAAGAGATGAAGGATTACATGAGAAAGGAAATGAATACTAATGCCAGGTAACCAGCGGTATTTATAGGGAACCTCAAGGGGGCGGAGTTAAAACCAGGTGGGCTGTCTTTACCTATATTGACATTTTGTGAAACAA